GTGGAAAGGAGGAGTGTGCTCTCACAGTATGGGGAGAGCAATTAGGGTCACATAAGAATGTATGTATAAATTTTTGTATGGGAGACTGACTTGAAATGTAAACTTCATTTAAACTACAACAAGAAAAAATAAAATTTGTGATCCGAATTTCAGGCCAAGCAGATGATGTCACTTTTGCAATATGGTATGGCATGCGTGTGTATGTTTTTTGTAATAAGCACTGCAGATATGGAATTGGTCACGTGGACTTTCTTCTGGTCCCTTTTTTAGATGTGAAGCCCTCCAATATGCTAGTAAACACCCGAGGACAGGTCAAGCTGTGTGATTTTGGAGTTAGCACTCAGGTAGGTCTCTTTTTCCTCCCAGTCTGCTCTCCTCTCTGCAACATCCACTTTTTATTTTCCGTCTACTTTCTGCACTGAAAAATCACCTAGCTGCCAGACAAACAGAACCTCTGCATCTTCTCCTCGGCTGGCAGTGTGTTATTCATTTTTAATCTCTGAGCGAGTTTCCTTCGTCAGAATATGATTGTTCATTGTTTAATGACAGTAAAAACTGCTGATATTGTAATTACTACTTACGAATAGCAAACTTCATTGATATGCGGCTTTGATATGAAAGCATTTTGGCCAGACAAAAGGGAGGGCAGAGTGGGAGCTGTGCCTAGGGAGCCCAACTGGCCCAAATAAAAATTAATATTGGGAACAACAATGGTGGAGGGCCATTACAATGTGCAGCACAAATTTTAATTAATTTCCATTTTGGGCCTCCCCTGAGAAGCCCAGTGATAGTGACCCATGAGCGTGCTGTGATGTTGATTTGAATTGCAGCCACCTTTACTCCCAGCCAAACACGAAGACCAAGGAGAAGGTCATCATTGTATTATGAGTTGTCAAAATCTGTTATCCCTCCAGCGTATTTACTGTTCGTTTCATTCTAGCAATGCACGCGGCTTCGTTCAGATCTTGAGCCATCTGACTAAACAATGAGTGTGTTCAAATTCTACTTCAAATTGACTTTTTATATCAGGCGGGTTTGGGGTACTAAAGTGATAAGCATCCTACTTAAGTGGATTGTTTAAGGTTATCTGCTATAAAGTATAATGCTGTGCTTATTTAAATTGGAAATCACGTTCAAAAGAAAAGAGAGATTTAATCATTTTTAATGCTTTTGTATATAAATTTGTTCCGTTTTACATAATTTTTAGTTGATTTATAGGAATGATGATGGTAGGTTAAATGAGGGATAATTGCCCATTTTGTTTCCACATTATCTTTATATTGTTCTAACAGACTGTTTTGTTTCATAGCTGGTGAATTCTATAGCCAAGACGTATGTTGGAACAAATGCTTATATGGCGGTAAGTAAACTTATGCAAAAATAACATTTAAACCAACATCTTTATCTTTATGTATTTGGTAATGTATAATTCTTGAGTTCATTCCACAGCTTTAGCCTAACATCATAAATTACGAAGTCAATCCCGTCACAGCCTGATTTTTAAATCTTCCAAAAGACAATAAGGTTTATGCAGGAGCTACCAGCTTATCTGACTTTCTTGACTTATCTGGGTTGGTTCAAGAGTGAAATCACCATTTTGAAGTTTAATCCTACTGGAAAAATTGCACTTTATAGCATGGCAGGTACTTTGCCACATCACTTATTCAATTAACCCTCAAGTATGCTAAATGTCAGTCATCAATATTGGTTGTTTTCTCCAGGAATACAAACTAGCTTTGTCTCCAGATCAGAATTAAATTATTGATATCAGCAAATCTTACTTACAGATCTCCGTATGTAAGAGCTTAGCAGGCAGTTTTCTTTCAGCTCTGTACCTCTGTATTCTGTTTCCTTTTTGGACCCACACCTATCATAAGGTAATTGGTTTAGTTCCACTGAAACCCATTTACCAAGAGTAAAAAGTGGAAACATCAAACTGTTTGGAAGACCACTGGGGACTTGACTTTCACCTGTTTTGGCTGACTTTTGAGTAAGGGAAGTTATGTGTCCATAAAAATGCTTTTGATTATTTGTTTCCAAAATCACTTCAAGAGTTGGGGGAGGGGAAGGAACAAGCAGAAAGCTCATCTAGTATCATTTTGGGAGCAAAGTTTTGTTTTAACATTTGAAGATTAATTTTTTTAAGGCGAGCTCTTGATAGATTTCCGTAGTTGCTTTCGCTTGTAATGGTCTCTGTTTATATACAGATACATGAAGTTAAAAGATGTTAGTATGGATGGCACTCTGGATCTTATTCTCAGAACAATACAAAGCGTTTTGTTTTCGTTCAGATACCAGAATTGTTCAGTTTTATCTTTGCATTGTTTTTTTAAAAAAAATTTATTCATTCCTGTTTTTCTAGATAATCTGAAAAAAATGAATTGACCTCTGAAATAGTCGTATCTGTCTTTATAAAACTTAACCACATTCCTGGCTCTGCCAGGTTAAATGAGATTAGTGAGCCACCTCTATAGTTAACAAAACCCTGCTGAATGCTATAGCTTCAGTCTCTGAAAGAATATGGAGCACTGTGATTTAAAAAAAAAAAAAAGATAAATGAAACAACTTCTCAACTACCCATCATGTTCTTAGTAGCTTTAAATTGCTCTAATAATTAAATTGTATTATGTTTGAAAGTACAAATCCCGATTACAGTTGTCTTTCCCAGGTGTGCATTAAAGAAATTACTTTTTTTCTTTTTTATTTATGGATGAATGTGCTTCGTCCATCTGTTAATTGAAAATGTGAGGATTAAAATATGAAACAGTAGCTCAGATTGGCAAAGCTAAAATTGCTTTGCTTCTTGGGTGAATGAATTCTAGTCATCAACTTTGTAGTTCAAGCTGTAAAAAGCATAAGCTACCTAGGAAGCAAAGGAAGTGAAGAGTGATAGCCTGATAGTGAGAGCAAGAGCTTTGCTTCTATTCCAGTTCAGCAGGCTCTTGTTGGCCGAGTACTTGCCTGGATGGTGTGAGATCAAAGGTTAAGGGGAGGAGGAAGGTGGAAATAACACTTATTATTTCATTGCAGGTATTAGTCCCCACCTTCTGGCAACTTATAGTCTTATGAAGGAGGAAGGCTAGGCTTTTTTTTTTTTTTTTTTTTTTGGTAAACCACAACTGGTACCACATTTGAGCTGGTTTATTTTGTAACTTTGAGTTTTACCTGAGGATTTGCCAGGAGTTGGCAAACTACAGCTCTCAGGCCAAATTTGGCTTACTACTTGTTTTTTTAAATAAAGTTTTGTTAGAACATGGCCATACCCATTTGTTGATCTGTTGTCTGTGGCTGTTTTAGCACTACAATTGCAGAGCTGAGTAGTTGTGACAGTTGTGACAGAGACCATATGGCCCACAAAGTAAAAAATTTTTGCTACTGGCCTTTTACAGAAAAGGTTTGCCAACCACTGGTCTATGCCAATGAAAGCTGTATCTGAAACAGAGTACCTTCAATCAGTTAACCAGTATTTACTGAGCACCTTCCATGCTATTAGTCAGGCACAGTGGAACCACTCTACAATCCAGGCAAAACATGAGCAGAAATAGGAAATACAGCATTAGCCATAACAGTACCACATGTGCCATAATAAAGACTTGAGTGGTACCAAACGTACTTTTAGAGAATAAGAAGGCATATAATGTATGTATTGGATGACTCAAGCAGTATGTGAAAAGGCTACCTACAAAAGAGAGAGATAACTGTGGAGGGAAGAGCAACAACTCACAAATAGAAGGGAATGTGGCATGGGATGGAGGACAAATAGTAAATTGTGGGAATATGTAGTTGTCATTGTTAGCTGCCATCCAGTCCATTCCGACTCATAGTGACTGTATGTACAACAGAACGAAACACTGTCTGGTCCTGCAGCATCCTCACAATTGTTGCTATGTTTGAGCCCATTGTTGCAGCCACTGTGTCAGTCCAGCTCTTTGAGGGTCTGACCCTCTACTCTGCCAAGCATGATGTCCTTCTCCAGGGACTGGTACCTCCTAATACCATGTCTAAAGTAGGTAAGATGAAGTCTCTCTATCCTCCCTTCTAAGGAGCATTCTGGCAATACTTCTTCCAAGACAGATTTGTTTATTTGTCTGGCAGTCCATGTTATATTCAATATTTTCTTTGCCAGCACCATAATTCAGAGGCATCAGTTCTTCTGCAGTCTTCCTTATTCATTGTCCAGCTTTCGCATGCATAGGAGGCAATTGAAAATACCATGATTTGAGTCAGGTGCACGTTAGTCCTCAAGGTGACATCTTTGCTTTTTAACACTTTAAAGAGGTCTTCGCAGCAGATTTGCCCAATGCAATCCATCGTTTGATTTCTTGGCTCCTGCTTCCATGGGTGTTGATTGTGAATCCAAGTAAAATGAAATCCTTGACAACGTCCATCTTTTCTCTGTCTATCCTGATTTTACTTATTAGTCCAGTTGTAAAGATTTTTGTTTTCTTTATGTTGAGGTGTAATCCATACTGAAGGCTGTAGTCTTTGATCTTCATTAGTAAGTGTTTTAAGTTCTCTTTGCTTTCAGCAAGCAAGGTTGTATCATCTGCATATCACAAGTCGTTAATGAGTCTTCCTCCAATCTTGATGCCACATTCTTCTTCATATAGTCCAGCTTCTTGGATTATTTGCTCAGCATACAGATTGAATAGGTATGATGAAAGTATACAACCGTGGCGCACACCTTTCCTGATTTTAGACCATGCAGTATCTCCTTGTTCTGCTTGAACGACTGCCTCTTGGTCTATGTACAGGTTCCTGAAGAGCACAATTAGGTGTTCTGGAATTCCCATTCTTTGCAAATATTATCCATAATTTGTTATGATCCACACAGTCGAATGCCTTTGTATAGTCAATAAAACACAGGTAAACATCTTTCTGGTATTCTTTGCTTTCAGCCAAGATCCATCTGACATCAGCAGCGATATCCCTCATTCCATGTCCTCTTCTGAATGCAGCTTGAATTTCTGGAAGTTCCCTCTCAATGTACTGCTACAACCATGTTTTAATTATCTTCAGCTAAATTTTACTTGAATGTGATATTAATGATATTGTTCGCTAATTTCCACATTCTGTTGGATCACTTTTCTTAGGAATGGATGCAAATATGGATCTCTTCCAGTCAGTTGGCCAGATAGCTAGCTGTATTCCAAATTTCTTGGCAGAGGCAAGTGAGCGCTTCCAGCATTGCATCCGTTTGTTGAAACATTGCCATTGATATTCCTTCAGTACCATCAGTTCTTCATCATATGCCACCTACTGAAATGGTTATGTCGACCAGTTCTTTTTGGTACAGTGACTGTCTGTATTCCTTCCATCTTCTTTTCATACTTCTTGCATCAATCAATATTTTGCCCATAGAATCCTTCAGTTTTGCAACTTGAGACTCCAGTTCTTTCAGATGGAGAAATGCTGAGTGTGTTCTTCCCTTTTGGTTTTCTAACTCTGGGTGTTTGCACATTTCGTTATAATGCTTCGTCTTCTTGAACTGTCCTTTGGAATCTTTTGTTCAGCTCTTTTACTTCATCAGTTCTTCCTTTCACTTTAGCTACTCTACATTCAAGAGCAAGTTTCAGAGTCTCTTTTGACATCCATTGTGGCCTTTTCTTTCTTTCCTGTCTTTTTAATGACCTTTTGCTTTCTTCATGTATGATGTCCTTGATGTCATCCCACATCTCGTCTGGTCTTCAGTCATTAGTGTTCAGTGCATCATATCTATTCTTGAGATGGTCTCTAAATTCAGGTGTGATATGCTCAAGGTTGTACTTTGGCTCTCATGGTCTTGTTTTAATTTTCTTCAGGTTCAACTTGAACTTGCATATGAGTAATTTGATGGTCTGTTCCGCAGTTAGCCCCTGGCCTTGTTCTGACTGATGATATTGACCTTCTCAATCGTCTCTTTCCACAGATATAATTGATTTGATTCCTGTGTATTCCATCTGGTGTGGTCCATGTGTATAGTTGCCATTTATGTTGTCAGAAAAAGGTATTTCCAATGAATAGGTCATTGGTCTTGCAAAATTCTGTCATGCAGTCTCTAGCTTTGTTTCTGTCACCAAGGCCATATTTTCCAACTACTGATCCTTCTTCTTTGTTTCCAACTTTCACATTCCAATCATCAGTTGTTATCAGTGCATCTTGATTGCCTGTTTGATCAATTTCAGACTGTAAAAGTTGGTAAAAATCTTCAATTTCTTCATCTTTGGCATTAGTGGTTGGTGTATAAATTTGAATAGTTGTATTAACTGATCTTCCTTGTAGGCTTATGGATATTATCCTATCACTGATAGCATTGTACTTCAGGATAGGTCTTGAAATGTTCTTTTACCAATGAGTATGGTGCCGTTCCCCCTCAATTTG